CCAGAACTCTGATGGGCAGAGAGGCAGGGGATTGTCCTGGGGCTTACTAGCTATCAGTCTGACTCCAGACTCAGTGAGGGACTCTGTTTCAGGACAATGAAGGTGGAAAGTGATAGTGAAAGACACCCCAGCATCAATCTCTGGCTTCCATGATACACATACATGTACAAACACACATGCTCTCTGAGAAGAAGCATTGGCCCATCCATTGTGGCCTGTCTTTATTGCTGGAGGATGCCGGATGATCCTGGGCAGTCTCACATCCTGTGACTGAGCCTGGGGAAGCCAGCTGCTTAGGTGGAGACTGCTTGTTTTATATAGGGTCATCAGATTGTCCTTTCATTCAGGCAAGTCTAACCAGAAGCGGGACAAGACACGGTTTCTGTACTTTGTTTGATAGCATCTTCCCTTATACTCTCCGGAACAATTTCTGTGAGTACCATGCTGAGACCACTAGGCTCTGATAGAGATTCAAGTCAGTTTCAAACAGCTGCAACATCAGACACCTACCACCCACTATGATAACATTATAACATGTATCCTTTAAAACAGAGTCTGGGAACCTGAACCTAAGTTACTCCGTGGCTTCAGGTTTTCTCAGTCCACATTGTATTACTCTCCGCTTAATTACTAATATCTAGTGTGTGTGTGTGTGTGTGTGTGTGTGTGTGTGTGTGTAAGGGAGAGTATATGCAGTATATATCACATGTGTATGTCCATGTGTGCAGGCAAAGATCAGAGGAGGATGCAGGGTATTCTATTTTGTCACAGTCTGCCTTATGCCCTTAAGACAGAGTCTCTCACTGAACCTGCAGCTGAGCTCTTGCTGAACCTGGAGCTAGGCTGGCTGCCTGCCTGTAAGGCCCAGGAATCTTCCTACCTCCTTCTTCACAATGCTGGGATTCTGGCTCGGGTTTCAATGCTTACCCCGCAAGTGTTCTTATCCACAGAGCCATCTTCCGAGCTACCTACTTTCCAATATTTTAATAATAGGTTTCACCTTAAAAACTTAAACTCCAGTCAGGTGGCAGTGGTACGTGTCTTTAATCCTAGCACTTGGGAGGCAGAGGCTGGTGGATCTCCGTGAGTTTGAGGCCAGCCTGTTCTACAAAGCAGATGCCAGAACAGCCAGGACTGTTACACAGAGAAATTCTGGATTAAAAAAATACCCCCCAAAACAAACAACAACAACAACAAAAGACACACACAAATAAAAAATGAGAACAAACAAACAAAAAACAAAACTCCTAGATAACCTGGTTGCCCTGGACTCATTTTTTCACATCAGCAAGAGGCAAGAAGTGACAGATGCCACCGAGGGAGCTGGTCCTAGAACCTGGTTGTGATTTGGAGATGGCTCATCCCCCAGATATTTTTGCACAGGAAATGTGGTCCTAAGTGTGATGATATTAAGAGATAGTGAAAGTTTTAAGAAGTGGGCATTGCCAGGTGGTGGTGGCACACTCCTTGAGTTCCAGTACTCAGGAAGCAGGGGTGGGCCTGGTCTACAGAATTCCAGGATACCCAGGGCTGCACCAAGAAACCCTGTCTGGGAAAAAAAAAGAAAAAAGGAAGAAAGGAAGGAAGGAAGGAAGGAAAGAAGAAACAGAGAAAGAAACAAAGAAAGAAAGAAAAGGAAAGGAAAAGGAAAGAGAGGTGGGGATGTGGTCACTGATAACAAGGTTGCTGGAGTGGAGTGGGTTGGTCATTTTGAGGACTTTGGTCCTTCCCTACTCTTAGGCTTTCTGTTTTACCTTCATCCCTTTCTTTACTTGCCCATTATTTTGACACCATTTGTCACAGGTCCTCACCAAAGTAGAGTCAATATTGCTGTTGTGTTCTTGAGCCTCAGAACTGTGAGCTAAGCAAACCACTTCTCTTTGTAAGGTACCCAGGCTCAGATGCTTTATTAGAGCAACAGAAATTAGATGAATACAGGTATAGAAAGTATCTGAATGTAGGACAATGCTGCGAAGGACAGTCCCTCTCTACGTGTCAGTCAAGTTGGGAAACACAAAAAGCTGGAAATGAAAAGTGTCTTTTCTCCAAGAAGCCAATAAAGTGAGGGTCTGTTCAACATCAACCTGGGACTCTCAGGGCTTGCTGCTCCAAATGAGATTTTCTCAGGGTTATCCAACTGGGTTTCAGCCATCCATAGAGTCCCTAAACCCCAAGTTTTATCAAGGAAACACTGACTGGACTGGGGAGAAACCTGAAACCAACTAAGACCCCAATCCTTCCTCTTTGTATCTCCATGGGGTCAGGGAGAGGACAGTTGTTATATTATGGGTGTAAGAAGTCTCCACAGGCTCTTGCATTTGAACACTGGGCTGGTAGCCCTCTTTTGAGAAGCTGTAGAACCTTTCGGAAGCAGAGCCTTGTGGGAGGAAGTGGGTCTTGGGGGAATGGGTCCTGAGGTTTGTAGTTCAGATCTACTGACTGGTCTCTGCTCCCAGTCTGTCCAGATGTATGCAACCTGTTAGTCCTCTTGCAGGTACAGCTGATGACTGTTTTCACCACCACAGAGGACTGTATCCCTCAAACTGTAAGCCCAAATAAACTCACTTTTTAGTTTCTTTTATCACAAAAACAAGGGAAGTAACCAACACAGCTAATGACAGCTGGTCTGTGACAACAACGTCGACACCCACTATCATCTAGACCTTTCACATCAATCTCCCCACTCCCTGGGCCATTTTATGAACAAGAAGATTGGGATTTCAGGATCCAAAATGGCTTGGTGACAGCCTGTCTTGTACCTCAGGATCTAGGTTTCTTAGCCTGCATCCAGGGATCTTGAGGTAGACACTGTGGACTGGTATTTGCTCTGCCTGGCTAGGGAGCAATGAAAGAATTCAAGAATGTGTCCATGGAGGTGCAGGGGCACTCATCTGTGTGCCTGGTACCCATGGAGGGCAGAAGAGGGAGTCAGATTCTCTGGAAATGGAGTTAAAGATGGCTGTGAGCCTCCATGTGGGTGATGGGAATCAATCAGGATCTTTTGGAATCTTAACCATCCCAGCCTGTAGCTGGAAATTTCTCTCCCGCCCACCAGTTCTCAAATACCTGACAGCCACTTCCCAAATAATTGATTCAGAGACCTAATATAAATTATAAATGTTCAGCCAATAGCTCAGACTTGTTACTAGCTAACTCTAACACTTAAATTAACTCACAATTCTTATCTATGTTTAGCCACATGGCTTGGTACCTTTTCTTAGTACAGCACTCTCATCTTGCTTCTCTGCATCTGGCTGGTAACTCCTGACTCACCCTTCCTCTTTCCAGAATTTTCTTAATCTGGTTTTCGAGCTCAATCTCTTCCTGCCCAGTTACTTGTCAATCAGCGTTTATTTAGCAATGGACATAACCCATGGCACCAGCCCCTAATACTAGTGTGTGTGTGTGTGTGTGTGTGTGTGTGTGTGTGTACAGAGGTAAAAATGAGAACCTCTTAATGGCGAATCAATCCCACACCAGTTATGTTTTAAGGGGTTATTTATTTTGGGGGGTAAAGCTTACATACACGATAAACCGTCAGGAAGGGAGCCTAGTCGCTGGAGCAGGAGCCGGAACCAAGAGGCCGAGCCGAGCTTGCCGCTCTTCTTTTAAAGAGAAATATACCACGCCCCAGTGGGCTGGTATTTCAGCGGCTATTGGCTCCCACAGCACTGTGGGCTCGTGCTTCAGCGACTATTGGCTGAAGCAGCGGAAGGTACTCCCGCAGCAACCTCTCCTCTCCAAACTCCCCACCCAAGCCAAAAGACTTTGTTTGCTGAGCACACCATATATTCTGCTCCTCCTGTGTGCCTGCCTTTCCAGAATAGTTGCCCCTTCTCCCTCTTTGCCCTTTAGGTCAGCACTTCTCCATGCCACCTTCCTTCCAGGCACTACTTTTTTCTTAGACTCCTTACTTAGGAGTTCTGATTTTTGCATTGCTCTGACATTCACTAAGTGTGCCTGGGCCTGCTCCATTTATGCTGATATAAATAGCTAATATTAGTACAGTATCATAAGCATCTTGAGCACGTTAGCTCAGTCTCTGGCTATATTCTATGAGCAAGGACTTTTATTAGCTTCAGGCGAAGGCAGGCAGAAGCTCACTGACCTGTTCAAGGCCACCAACTGGGTGGTGATGGCACATGCCCCAGTCTGCAGGGCTGTGAAATACCAAAGACTTAGAAGACCAGGATCAAGGTGCCCGCAGGTTGGGAGTTCTCTTCTTGACCTTAAATGGCTGCTTCTGGTTATGTCCTCACCTGACCTTCCTCTGTGCTCATGAAGAAAGCAAGAGACTTTCTTCCTGTATTTTATTTTAATTTTTTTCTGTTTTTCTTTTATTGCCTTTTTTTTAAAAAAAAAAGACAGAGTCTCAAACTAGACTGGCCTTGTACATTCTTTATGTTCAAAGGTGACCTTGAATTTCTGATCTTTCACCCTTGACTTCTCAAGTGTTGAGCTACAGATGTGCACCACACCTGGGCGCTGGATTACAGGTGTGTACCACACCTGGTTTATGCCATGCTGAGAATGGAGCCCAGATCTTTGTGGATCCTAGACAAACATCCTACCAACTGAGCCACATCTCCAGTCTCTACTTCCTCTCCTTATATAAAGATGCCAGTTCAACAGGACTAGAGTCCCAACCTTCTAACCCCATTTAACCTTTCTTAACCTCTGCCCCTGACATTGAGGTTAAAGTGTCAACACATGAATGTAGACACCATTCAAGCCATCTTGGGATGGTGTGGGTTTTTTTCTACTTATTCATTTATGAACAATGAATAATATCTACTTATTCATTTATGTTCCAATAGTGGCAAGCACTATTGGAACATCTCCTAGTAGTGAAAATGGCAGAGTGGACTTTTGTAGTCTAGTGGGAGAGGATGACAGCAGAGAAGGAACACATGACATCATAGATGATAATGCCCTCTTTGGGCAGCAGCTCATAGAGAACACACATGATATCATAGATGATAATGCCCTCTTTGGGCAACAGCTCATAGAGAGATCTGTGGGCTGTGGGAGGGAGTTTTCATTTATTCTAAATGCAATGGATAGTCAGCTGAGGGTTGGAAACCTGTTTACAGCTTTTAAAGTCTTCCTTTGGGTGAGTGAGAAGGCTCAGTGTGAGCTTGACCTGAGTTTGATCTTGTGGACCCATATGGTGGGAGGAACCCACAGGCTATCCTCTGGCCTTCATACCTGTACCGGGCTTTTGGTTTGGGGCCACCTAACAAGCTTCCAAATCATGACAGAGACTTGATATTCTTTGTTACAAATGCCTGGCCTCAGCTTAGGCTTCTTTCTGGGTAGCATTTTCTAACTTAAATCAACCTGTTTCTCTTTATTTACCTTCTGCCTCGGGACTAACTACCTTTCTTGCTTCTGTATACCTTATTTTCACTGCTTCTCTGTCTGTCTGGCGTCTTCCCGGCTTCTTGGCCAGGTTGCATCCCTCATTCTCTCCTCCTCTCATTTCTCTCTCTCTCTCTCTCTCTCTCTCTCTCTCTCTCTCTCTCTCTTTCTCTCTCTCTCTCTCACCTACATTTATCCTCTTATTTATTCTCTCTGACTGCCATCCCTGCCCATCCTTTTTTCTGCCTTGCTATTGACCATTCAACTCTTTATTAGACCAATCAGGTGCCTTAGACAGGTCAGGTGAAACAAATGCAATCTATCTTTACAATTAATTAAACACATGCAGCCAAACAAAGTAGCACACATTTACACAGTAATATTCTGCAGCACAAACAAATGTAACACATATTTACATAGTTAAAATAATATTCTATGACACGTACCTGTGTGGCACCCACATGGGTATACACACACACACACACACACACACACACACACACACTTCCTTTAGCCAAATAATGGATGATTTACAGGAATTTAAGAGGGAAAATAGGAACCTCAGCAGGGAGGTGTTCATTAACCTCACAAATATCTACTGAGTCTCTGCCTGCTGGCTGATATGCAGGAACCTGTTTTCATGTGTCACAGAAGCTTCTGGATCATAAGAGAAGCCTCTGAGGCATGGTGGTCCCATCCAGGACACTTCTAGTCTGCCTTGGCTCATCAGTGGGTCCAGACATCCCCAGGGGCTGAGCTTTGTGGTCTAGCCTGCTGGTGGGGATGGACTTCAGAATAAAGGACAGGCTGGCATATGAGGTGTGGGTTCTTTGAAGACATGGGACTCATCTGGAAACTCTAGGACCATTAAATGGTGAGCATAGGTGACACCTACCTTCATCCTGGGACAATGGAGCACATCCTCTGCCCAGAAACCCAGGCTCTGCAATGGTCCAGGAGAAAAATAAGCCTCAATTCCCACTCTCAAGAGGTTTCCACCCAGTCGGGGGTGGGGCGTCAGGCAAGAGTGTGTGAACCATCATACCACAGAGAGTGAGGCTTGCCAGAAGAGATTCACAGCCAACACGGTGATGGGGGCCCCTGAAGGAAGGCATGTGTCTTCCATGTATAACAGTAACTGTAGGAAGGAGTGTGTTCACTCGCCTCCTGAGCACACATGCATGTGTGAAGAACACTTCATGCTGTAGAGTACCTTCCTGTCTGTGCCCTGTGAAATATCTGTGAGAGAGGTAAAACTTTCTTACACTTGTCTCATAAATAGATACGCCCTCAGGGGAGACCCAACCAGGAAACCCAGCCCACCACACTGTACGTCTTTACCTCACCCTTCTATCGAAGGTCAGGAGTTGGTAAGGAAAGGCAGGAGTGTATCAAACAGCACAGGGAGAAATGGGCAGATTAGAGACACACTTGAAAGGCATTGCTGGCAGAGTCTGCTGTTGAAGAGTGAAGGACGGAAGGAGAGGGAATCGAGGATGCCTGGAGACACAGAAAATTGAGATAATTATTGCTCTGTTTCTGTGACAAGATACCATGACCAAGGTGACTTATAAGATGAAGAGTTTATTTGGGGGTTATTGCTTCAGAGGATTAGAGTCCATGACCATAATGGTGGGGATCATGGCAACAGGCAGATAGGCATGGTGCTGGGGCATAGCTGAGAGCCGAGATCTGGAGATACAACCATGAGGTGGAGGGAGAGACACCAGGAATGGTAGGAGTCTTTTGAAACCTTAAAGCCCGCCCTCACTGACAAACCTCCTCTAGCAAGGCCATGCCTCCCGATCCTTCCCAAACAGTTCCAGCAATTGGTGACCAAGTATGCAAATATAAGTTATTGGGGGCCATTCTCATTCAAATCATCACAGGGATGGGGAGGACATAACAAGGAGAAAACATGAGATTAGTTCCTAAGAGCTATTTTGATTCTAAGAATTTCTTTTTCTTTTATTGACCTCAATTTTATCTATGAAACAATTTAAGTAAAACTCCAAACTAAAGCCATATATATATATATATATATATATATGTATATATATATTTCATAATATTTAATGAATAATAGATCAATGTACATCAAGTGAGACATGAGCAAATGTACGATCACTATGAAGCATCATGTATGGAACATGTCAACATCCCGGAAAGCCAGACCCACTCTGCACCTGCTGTTTTGCATCCACCTACCTTGTATCCACACCACCATGCTGCAGAACCTACCACTGGTCATAGTTGGAGAGTTCTTTCTTCTCTTCTTTACAATTTTTTAAAGTTATTTTAAAGTACATGCACGTGCCTGGGTTTGTGTGTAAGTGTGTGCATGTGAGCGCATGTGCAGGACCTGCAGAGACCAGAGGAGTCAGATCTCTCTAGAGCTGGAGTTACAGGCAGTTGTGAGATGCCTGATAGGGGTTCCGGGACTGGAACTCCAGTCCTCTTGAAGAGCGGTATGTGCTCTTAACAACTGAATGACCTCTCTGCTCCTAGAGAGGGTAATTCTAAGTTAAATCATCGTTCTGCAATTTTCTTGCATCTTGTGATTTAAGAAGACCTCCTACTTGTGTGTATGTTCATGTGAGTGTGCATACATGCACAAACAGGTGTGTGTGTGTGGTGTACATGTGGAGGTCAGAGATTGATGCTGGGTGTTTTCCTTAATGTCTCTCCCCACCTTATTTTTTTTTTTAAGACAGTGTCTCTTGCTGAACCTGGAACTCATTGATTAGGTAAGACTAGCTGGCCACCGAAACTCAGGGATCCTCTGTCTCCTCTCCCCACAAGCACCAACACAGTAAGACTGCCACAGTGCCCAGCTTCTTTGTGTGGGTGGTGAGGGTCCACTCAGGTCCTCATGAAAGCATTTTACTGACCAAGCCACCTCCCCGACCTACTGACAATGACTCTTATAATTTTTTTAGGTACGGTTTGCTTGAGTTTGAGCTGACGAAACTTTGGTTGTCACCGCAGTCCCGTGGGCAGGGACTGACTTTGATGATGAACTTCAGCTCTATAGTGAGCCACTGAGGTCAGCGTGGACTACGCCAGGACTCTTACCCTTCCTATCGCCTGGTACGCCTGCTTTCTGTCACTATGCGAGCCACCACGCGTGGTTTTGCTCCCTAGCTAGAGCAGCAATAGTTTTGGAGAATCCATGTCTCATCCTGAAGGTATGATGAGTGTGGTGAGGTCACGGGGCTTGGGCATCAGTCCAAGACACAGATGGGGATAGCAGCCGTGGGATGGGGAGGCTTCTGCAGTCCCAGACACCAGGAATGAAGGGCAGAGGAATGGTTCTAAGCAGTCTAGAACAAATGATGCCTTGTAGAGTAGCCCTGATGACCCGTGGATCAAACCCTAAAGAAACATGACAGGCACACCAGAAAAAGCCAGACCTCTGATGTCTGAAAAGGCAGAACAAGGGAGGTTATCAGAGTAGATTTAAGCTGCCATGAGGGTTGGCATGATCTTGGGTTTATCTTCAAGGATAATAAAGATCTAGCCACGTGGAATGAGAGTACATCCCAGTCACGTATGCACTGTCATTGAAGCATGGCTCTTTAAGTACCACCTGCTGCTGCGGGATGTGTAGGTATAGAAAGGGGAGCTTTAGGGAAAGAGGATTAATTAACTACAACAAAACCAAAAACAAACAACCAACAAAACACAACAGCAATAAACTCAGTGGTAAGCTAGTGAGTCACCAGCTGATTACCTCATACGGTTTCCCCAGTCCCATGTTTAACAGCTTAAAACAAAACAAAACAAAACAAAACAAAAAAAACCCCAAAACCTGCTTCTTTTTAAAGTTGTATCTATTACTTTTTCTTTGTTTGGAGTTTAGGACATCCCCCATTCTCTCTTCAACCCCTCTCCTATTCCTGCCCCAACTTTTCCCTTCCGATTTCCCATTATAGTTTGTTTTGTTCCCTGCCACCCACCAAGTACCGTTAGTGCCGCCCATATATGCTCTGGTGAGGAGCCTCTCAGGGTTCAAATCTCTGGAAATAACTAGCTATCCCTCCCCCAGCATCCACCAATGGCCAATAGATCCTTAGTTAAGGGTGGGACTTCTTGAACCCATCCCCCATCTATGCAGGGAGTTTGTCTGGCTTGATCTTTAGAGAAAAATAAAGTAATGGGGCCTCTTTGGTCTCTATGACTTGCCTGGAGCACGTGAACACTTCAGGGTGTTTCTTCTTCTGAAAGACTTGAGCAGATATCTGGACTTTCGGCAAAACATCTTGCTGGCTGGAGCCACTGTGACCTGCAATGTGTATTCTCAAGGCAGCATGTATCAACGAAATGAACTCCCCTTTGCAGAATGGTGAGTGTGTAACCCACATGCACAGGGTGGACTTTGCAGGGAGTGGACAAGGACTGGGGGTCACTGAAAAGCCGCTGTCTTCCTTGAGGGTTCTGATCATGTGTGCACAAGTCAAACCCTAAATCACAGCACTGAGTGGGGAACGCTGTCAATGTGCTGTAACATTCAGACTTTCTGAGAAAAAAAAATGGATCATCACTTTTCTTTTATATTCTTAGAATGAGGAACTGGAAACTTAGAGGTGCTGGTCGGGTGCTCAGCTTCACACCGAATCAGGTTCCAGGCCCAGATCTGTCCACTTACTGAGCCCCAGATCCTCAGCCTTTAGCGGTCTCATCCCCACTACTGACTCTCTGGCTTCCCTGTGGGACTTCAGCTGCAAACTATTCTCTGCTAGTCTTCTAGGGGTAGTGCTGAGCCAGGGCCAATCAGCACAGACCTTGGCCCAATTAGCATAGGGCTTAATCGCCTCAGGTAGCCAATTACACTTTTATTATATGCAGCTGTTACATTTGGACTTCTTGAGTTACTCGTGGCTAAACAGGAGTAATAAACTGATGGCAGCTACTGGCAGAAGTGGCAAGGTCGCCTCAGGTTCAAGGGCAGACAGAAGTGTCCTACTGACTTTTTAACTGGAGGACAAAAACAGCTCTCAGTTGCTAGCACAGTGTAAAGGAGGGAGCAGCTCTTAGTGCTGGAGTGATGGGCCTCCTGCAGCGTTTTTAGAAACCCTTGTGTTTATCAACACCTTACAAAATGTTAGTAATTTCTCTCTGTCTGTCTATCTATCTATCTATCTATCTATCTATCTATCTATCTATCTATCTATCTATCCATCTATCATCTATCTCTATCATCTATCTATCTATCATCTATCTACAATCTCTTATTCTAATCCAGCTATCTAGTCTATCATCTACTTACCTATCTTGTATTTATTAATATAATCCAATTAAATTAAGTTAGATTAATCTCTCCCTCTGTCTACACAAGTGTTTCCCTCCAACAATCTACCTATCTAGATATCCATTCATCTAATCTATCATATAGATATCTATTAGTCTAATCTACTATTTATCTAATCTACCACCTGTAAATCTAATCTATCTACTTTATTGTCTATCTATTGTCTAATCTATCATCTATTAATCTAGTTATCTACTCTATCATCTGTCAATCTAATATATGATGTGTGTATTAATCTGATTAGTTATTCTATTATCTATTTATCATCTACTTAATTTATCATTTAATATCATCTTTCTACCTGTTGATCTACTCTAACCAGTATATAGATAACCTATTATTTATTAATGTAATCTAATCTATCTACTCTACAATGTGTTTTGGCCTCTCCCAAAATCTATCATCTATCAACCTAACTTATTATTTGTTCATCCATGTTCCTATCCAATTCACATATGCATTTTCAAAAACATATCTGTCTGCCTGTTATCTATGTATGTATATATTATCTATCCATGTATCTATTTATCTACTTCACATAAACAGAAAGATTATGATCTAATGGAACGTTCTGAGACTTTAAGGTTTCTAACCTTTTAAGGGTCTGATATTCAGCAACACAGCATTACAAAAACTTTTAGGTTTGCTATTCAATAACACCAAACAAAATAAAAAAATAAGACAACTATAAATAAATCCTATCCGGTTGATTTAAATGAAAGGCTCCTGCTGCTTGATCAGACCCTCTCCCCAGCCATGGTGAGATTCCTCTTGATGGGAAATTGAGTTTCTGGGCTATTTCTCAGAGAATAAAATAACAAAACACAGATAGCAGATTTAAAAAAAAATGTCACCAGGTATCCCTGTTGGAGGCCCAAGTGACAGGGGTCAGAAACTCAGCCAGTAACTCTGCTTAAGCAGAGGCAGAACAAATCCCCCTGCCTGGGAGGCCAAACAAAGCATTGTTTTAGTTCTGTGGGAGATAATGACAAAGGAATAGAACGTCGTCCCGGGTAATGGTCTCCTGCTGATAGGGAAATGCTGAGGGAAAAACAAACAAGGGCTTGAACGCTTCTTTTTCCAAGCAAAGCTGTGGTTCCGGGGCTCTGCCTCTCCTAACACCTTCCGTTCTGTTGTAGGTGTCTTGCTTTGGGAGGCGCTCTGAGCTGGGGTGTCCTGGAACCAGAAGGGCATAGCGCACAGGCTACAAGCCCAGCGAGCTGCTTTTGAACCGCTGGCCTCACCAGCTTTCCACTAAAACACAATCACAGCCTCTGGCTTTGGTCTTAGCCAGAACTCCCTCTGCCACAACCACCCATTTTATACCTTCAATCAGACTAGCAGCTGCTGCTGCTTCTTTTTTAATCAGCAAAGTCCTGAAATTGTACAACAGAAAGACATGTTTTTTGTTTGTTTGTTTGTTTTTTTAGATTCCTGGAGAACGAAACCAGCAAGTCCTGCACACGAACAAGCTGGTGCCTTTCTATTTTTGCCTCTTTTCCCCGGTATATACCTTAGAACAAAACTGAGATCAGATCAAAAGTGAGAACTGATTTTAAGTCCAAAACTGTGAAGAAATCACAGTACCCCTTTGTTTAAAAAAAAATAAAATGAAATAAAAATTCAGGGCCAAAGTCATCATTCAGTCCTCTGCAGCTCTTGGAGCCGATCCAGTATAAGCTACCACACAGACCAAAAGCAGGGCCTGACATCTTCTTTAACCATCCATTGAAAGTGCCAGAGCATCCGGAAGTTCAGGTCCGAGTTAGCTTTGCAGTTAAGGAGACATTCTGCAAGTTTGTTTTGTTTTGTTTCCCCTCTTGGGAAACAAGTCTTCATCGCACAAAGCCAATAGGAAGAGGTTTTAAACATCAGCAACATTTCTACTTGGGCTTAGCAGCCTCTGGGCTAGCATTTGTTTCTCTGGTGATCGCCATTCCCCTTGCATTTCAGAGTCTGTCTCCTTGGAGGCTGCAATGGGACGTGGGAACACTAATGTGTGCTCTGTGGAGCTCCCCTCACTATAAAGCTCACTGTGCCATCTCCTTTAAGGTCAGTTTGTCTGCAAAGAAGGATGCAAGGAGGCTGACCCTGAGGCTAGCCATACAACCCTTGGAGGGCTTAGAAGCTTCATGAGCCCCCAGTAGGGGCCGCAGCCTGGCCTGGACCCTTGCTGGAGACAGCTTACATTTTGATTACAATAATTAATTTGAAAATTCTAATGTAAAAACATTCACTTGAAAAACAGGCAAATCCCCAATTGTCAGACAAAATTACTTTTCTTTTCCTTTTTTTTTTTTTTTTTTTTTTTTTTTGGTTTTTATGCCCGTTTGTGGAATGTCATTTTTTCCCCCCCCCCCCTTTTGGCTGAAAGCTGCTCCAGTAGGTGAACAGGTGCTTTGGAGATTGACCAGTAATGAACATTGCTGCCATAGAAATCTTCAGCGGTTGACAGAATATATGGGGAGAGAAAAGCTAAATGAAGAACAAGCTGGTAGATAAAGTTAAGGCAGAAAGAATAGTAATTACTTAGGAAGAGAAACCTTAATTGGAAAAGCTAAACAAGGGGAAGAAAATAAAATAAATTGGATTACAGCACTGATTCAAATTTTTACTAAAAACAATTGAGCTGGGAAGAACTTAAAGGAAGTAATTCCTTACACAGAATTCCGAATGCCGAGGCTGTTGTCCCCAGAAAGCCCTCAGGTGCCCAGGGGCTGGCCCATGGAAGAGACCCATACCAATAAATGTGAAAGGGCTTCGGATAGTTCTGATCCCGATGTGCACTTTCCTCAGACTCAGATAATAGACAGTTTTGGATTTTGTGTTCCACCTCCATGATCCTGGCTAGGAATTTTTACTTCTTGGACTGGGGCTTCAGCTCCCCAATGCCAGCCACCCAGTAAGAAAGGGAAGGTTGAGCCTGCGTTGTGTGTGGTAGAGTTCTTCAGGAATGCACCCCCCCCCCCCAACACCGTCTGCCTAAGCTAGAGTAAGATCTGGGCACACAGGGAGAATCGCGGTTCGAAGAATCCGGTGTGTGTGTGTGGGGGGGGGGGAGGTGATGTCTGTGGTTCCAACTTTTAAAACATTCAGAAACATTACGTTTAATGCGAAATTTCTCCAAGGAAAAGTTCAGGGGAGCTATGTCCAAGTTGCAACAAAGTCTATTTGGAAAGTACACAACTTCAGAGACTATTTTTCTTTAAAAAATAAAGAAACAAAATTTCAATCACTTTAATACACACTTTAAAGGCAATTTATGATAACTGTAGCCTGCGGTGACTAAGGCTATACTGAACTTTCAGAGCTGAAACATTCAGTCTGTTGTATTCAGGGAAAGTTCTCTCTACAATTTGAAGAAAATATTAAAAAACCGCGGAAGCAATTGCCAAATCTCTTTCGCCTGTGCAGTATCTTTTATATATATATAAAAATGTGTCCAATTACATAGCTAGGGTTACAAATGTCCACAGTTTCATTTTCGATGATTCGGTGACTGTAATTCCAGGCTGCTATTTCACGGTACTGAAAGACACGGGGTTATCTTTGTTCCTTTCATCTTCCTGATGTTTAAACCAGCCCAGAAACATATCAAGAAACCAAATAAGCAGGGGAAACAAGAGGTGGGGATTGTGTTCTAAAGGCTGAGATCTCCCACACAAGCAAAGGGGAGTTTCTGATGGTTGTGGGGTTACCTCCCAGATTCAGGTCTTGCATCTGTGAAATGGGCTGGGAGCATCTCTACAGGACTGTCCCCAGGTGTGACCAGCCCGCTATCTCCTGACTTGCTAGTGTGTGAAAGCTCTCTGGCCCCTCCCAGCAAGCGGGTCCAAATCTTCCTGGGTCAATTTGCCTTTTAGAAGCCACTGGAGATGCGGGCACACACGGTCTGAGGGGTGCTTGCATTTGGTTTATTGCCTTTATAAAGACTGTTTGGAGGTCTTCTCGGGCTTAAACTAATGAGAGCGTAGAGTGGGGGATCCCAAAATAAGAAGGGAGTGTGAGAGGGAGGTTGTAGGGAGGAAAAGAGAATAACACAACTAAGAATCAAGCCGCTCGGAAAAACAGGGAGAGGAAGAAAGCAAGTGGGCTACGCCTGGAAAGACCCCGAATCGCGGGGCCTAGAGAAGAGCTGGGCCCCTTGGGTGGGCTTGAAACTCGGACATCTCCTCCGTTCCCAGTCTGGGGAGGTAGGAGCCGCAGGGATTCAGCCAGGGATTTACACCCGAGGGGACCGAGCAGCGGAGGTCGCAGTCCGGGGATCATCCAGGCTGGGCAGGGTGGGCGCGTTCCTCCTGCCTGTAGCGTTTGCAGAAGACAGAGGGTGATCCCAGGGCCAGGCTGGGGGCTGCGGGACCAGGTACCGCTATGGGCTCTGTAATGGGCAGCGGCAGAGCCAGACGCACACCGGTGAGGGCCGCCAGGATCTTTGTTGGAGCTTGGGCGACGTTCTCCTGGAGGTAGGAGAGGAGCTGGTGGCCAGTGCGCAGACGAAATCCCTGTCACAACCTGTGTTCTGTTGGCTCAGGGACCTTACCTCCGCAACTGACCCAGCCTCGGGGCTCAAGTCTAGATGTGCCTTCACGCCTTTCTCTCCCAAAACAGGGACTCGAAAATCCCCGAACCCCTGAGGTGGAGCAAAAAGACACCACACAAGCATTTCTGACCTTGGCGCCAGAGAAGGGTCCCTGGGGCTCTTAGGCCTTGGGGGCGGGGGTTGCCTCCCCAGCACCTTGCGAGGGTGGGTGCCAGTCTGGGCCTCTTAACACAGTGACTGCTACTTACAATTTCTTCTTCGCTTTGCCCCTCCCTTCGGAGAAAGAGGCCGAGTTTCACCCAGACGTAGCCCTTGGTGAGCCCTGAAGGCTCTGAGTTGTAAGTTCTTCTGCCTCTGAGGAACTCGGCAGAGCAAAAGAGAAAATGGTCTAGGCCTACATCCCCCACCCCGCGCCTTTTTAAAACACAAATAGATTATTTTGAGATTTGGCTCTTTCGTACTCCCTTTTACTTTACTTTATTTTATTTTTTAGTATTGATGGTTTCTCAGTTTCTCAGCGACACCGAGGAGGAAAGGGGCTTTCTGGGTTAGTGTCTACTTTGCCTGATTTTTTACCTCAGCGGTCCAGGAGTAGCTAAATGAAATGTGGCTTCTGCAGAACTCTTGCGATAAAGCTCGACGCTTTCTACCATAAAAGTCAATGCCTCTGCCTGGTCCGTTTATGTCAAAGGAGGCAGCAACCGCACACTCTGCCAAGGACGAAAGAGAGGGCACTGCCCACACAAGGCACTGTCCACCACTGCCCACAAGCACGTTGGTGTTCAGCTCGGTGTCGTCAGCTTAGGAGAAAGTATGCTTTCTCCTAAGATTATGGCAACAATAGAGTGACAACAAGAACCAGGAAGCAAACAGCTCTTGAGTGGTCATTTGTACCAACCTGTTCTTGGACGTGAGAAACACACATACTCAACTCTTCCGGCCCCACTTTTTATTTTTGTCAGTGAAGGTCACAATTGGCCGATTTAAAAAAAAAATGATCTATTTACAGAGTTACGAATGTCCCCGCAGAAACTCTGTTTATCAGCCCAATAGTTGTGAGAGGGTTAGGAAACCAGTTTAAACTGTTAATCGGCCACAAAAAGGACCCCAGATTGACGCCTTTCACTTACCTTTGAAAGGCTGTAAGAGCTACTCTGTACATCGGGACGAAATTAGACAGCGACAAAATCATTACCTTGGCTCCCCACAATAAAGACAACCTTAAGAGGGGCTATTGATGGTTTCAAATTACATCACGGTGGTTTGTAGGTTCTTCCTCTGCGCTCACGGAAAGCAATTTTAAAATGTGGATTCTTCAAAGAACAGTTGCCAGCATTCACGCAAGGACAGGCAGCTACCCTTTGATTTTATTTATTGCAAAGTGGAGGTGGAGGTAGAAAAACAAAGACAAACATCCCAGAATAAAAAGTTTCAAAAGAATCATGTCCGGTTTATATTTCCCAGGCTTTCTGTTCTCTTTCCTGGAGGGAGAGTCAGGATGGCGGGTCTGGGAGTGGAGGTCACAGCCCCTTGGGAGGAAAACCCTGCACCGGGCCGCGCTCTGCCCACTGCTTCTGAAGATTTCATTCTGCACTCAGACTCTTGGGGTAAAAAGAAAGACATTTTCCCAAACACTCATTCCAGGGCAAGGGCCATCCCCTAGTTCCATCGGTGCTTTTGGGAACTGATTGGTGGGCCTGAGTCTTCCACGAGAAGATTCCTCCCACGGAGCTCGTACATCACGGACAACAGGCAGCCTATCTCGCTTTTACTCTGAAAGGCGCCCTCTGCATTTTAAGGAGCTCAAAAAGAGAAAGTCCCTCTCAACCGCCATCCTTGAAGTCACCCTACCAGTTCTTGTTAGGCCTACAAAACAAAAACAAAAACAAAAAGGAGGGAGTACCCTGTCACCCGTTTGCTTTTCTTTAAGGGTCAAGTTAGTGGTGCTGCTCTTATCCACCAAAGGCAGCCAGGATGCACTGCTCTCGGAGTGCTGCGAGCAAAGAGAGGCCCCTTTCGCACTTTCGAAACCTGTGTGCCAGGGATGAAGGGGCTGCTG